TGCTCATCCCAAAAAAATCACTATATTCTCCAGAGAGTGTCTCAAACTGCACAGCGGCTTTCCTTAATTAACACAAGTCCTAATTTGTAAGGCATTAAATTTTGAACTTAGCCTGATGTTCCTCTCCAGTGTTGAGGCACAGGATTTAAATTGTATGTGATAAGTGTGAACGATTTTTTTAAAGCATCCATGTACAGTATAAAGTACGCTATGCCAAGTACACAGAGAACATGAATTTGCACCTGAGGACATATAGCTATACATCCAGAGTCACAAGGTGTGTCAACACAAAATGTTAATTACACAATTTATGACAGAAATCAGTTGAAATATCTCCATGGATCTCGCTTATTTACATTTTAATTACTACTATTACTTATTCTTATTTTTTGGATGTGACCATAGCAAGCCCAATTCCTCCCCTACACTAGAAAGAAGCAAAATGACTGTTTTCCACTGGAGGTTTAGATGCTTGTTTATCACTTTTAAATACCATCATCTTTGCTGAAATCCCCTCTCAAAAGAACCTTTCACTTGCTGGAATAAATTCAAATTAAAATTTAAATCCCTCTTTGCATTTCTTCAGCCTTTTTTAAAATAGCTGCCTCCTTTTAGAAAGCTGTTTATGTAGTGATCTGTTCATAATCCAGTTTGTTTCTCAACAGCGAAAAACACAGAAATCGTATTATCACTATCTTGGAGAGATGATGCGAGAAATCAGGAAGTATAAATGTCTGGATCTGTGGAAGTTTTCAAAGTTGTAAAGCTGAAGAATATGGCAAAAGCCTTTCAATAAAGTAGTCTGTAACACTGCAATTTGACTTGCAAATACACAGAAATATAAAGTACATTGTGCCTTGATAACTCAAAAACATTTCACCAACCTTTAGCAAAGCTAATGTAGAGACAGACAATATGTGCTCATTCAACAAATACACAGTATTTTGGCATGTTTCAGACAACGTGTAGACAGTATTTCACATATACTGTAGATAGATGGCTCATCAGAAACGCTGGTGTGTGTGACATACAGCTATTGAAGTGAGACTTGGAAGATTAACCCTTGGCACTGTGGCTGACAAGTCATGCAGATCTCTGTAAACAGCTCTTTTCTAATCTTAGGAGGTGCTCACCTTCCAATATACTGAGAAAAACAATATCTAATCAGAAATGTAACAAATATAAACAGAAAAAGCAGACATTTACATGCAATGCCTTTTGATAACAATCCATTTCTGATGTAAAATGACGCAGAAGAGGCCATAGGGAAATTTAATTTGCTCAAGCTAGATTGGATTTATTGTTTGGAAACAAATTATAATTGTGTCTCCAGAAAGTTAACCAAGATCTAAACAAAAGAAATCAATGACCCACCCCCATTAATCACTCAAAGCCAGCTACTTGTGCTGAAGAAACTTACTTCATAATCAATTTCTTTGTTTTGCTCAAAGGGCATTTGCATTTTAGTTCATGTCAGCAAGCTTCCTGTATCTGGCGCAATCAAAAATTGCAAGCCATCCACAATAATGGAGTTTTTTCTATTTATTCAAGTGCATATCTCTGAATACTCAAGATGATTTTAGCTTATTATGCAAACTACCCTACAAATATTTTAAAGACGGAAACAAAATCCTGTTGAGTGGCAGACTTAACTTTTGTGATGCTTCTCATGCTTCCAGTGTCACAGTAAAACATTCATTTTTTCTCTGTATGTTGCGCCATATAGGACGTTTTTTTTTTTTTTTTTTTGTTTAAATGAATAGCAACCAACCTATATCTGCTCCTATAGGATCTTGCACCCACAGGACTTCTGAGACCAGACAGAAATGCCTCCTGTTAGTTGTGTCTAGACATACTATTACGGCCACCAAGGTCATTATCAAAGCACGCATTACACACACCTGTTACCATTGTGTAGATGCTCGTTTTTGGCTGAACATCCAAGCTCCTATCTGGCCATTTATAGGCGTGCCTGTTTCATTGTCTGCCTGCCTGAGTAGAAAAGATGGGCAGGGACCCCCAGAGACGCCCAGATCTGGACCTAACCTCTCAATGACACAACACAATGAGTCCACGGCCTGTGAACTACAAAAGCCAGACATCGACTGACCAGTCAAGCATTGATTTCTTAGATGTAAGCAATCACATGCTCTTATTTGAGGGCAGTGAATGTAAGGAACCAGTGGTAGTAGATGCATTTAGTTGTCACTGATAAGGTGGATAATTTAAACGTGCTATTTAAAGTGAACCTTTATTTCCATGCAAACGATGTACAGCCTTAATTATGATTTTTACACCACAAAAGCTGAGGTTTGATTACTGGTCAAATTAGTTTATGAGACTACTTGGGTATGTTAAACCCTATGAGAGGAAGATTGAGTGAGTTTGGACTCTAAAATATAACAGAGCCGTAGTTCCAAAGGCATCAGTTGAAGGCAGATATAGAAAACATCCTATATTTGTCCATAAAACATTTGAAATGTTATTGAAGTGTCTTCAAAGGACACTGAATAAACATATTGTAAGGTTGCCCACGGTCACACACACAAATCACCCCAAAGGGGATTGCTGGGAAGTAATCTAATCGTTTCTTTTAACTGAGACACAGTGACATGCAGTGTAGATAATGATCCCCATGAAAAATGTACTGTATTTTCAAAAGAATATTCCCTGTCTGCTGACATTAACATAAAGATAGTTCTACATCCTGGAGCCATATCAACAACATGTACTTATGTTTGGTTCTTTCTATTTGCATATGCAAATATTTTTTTAAATTTTAATTCAGTCCTTTTATGTGACTTTCTGTGATGAACAAGCGGCATCAAGTGGTTGCACAATGAGGGTTCAGTACCACCAAGAAGAAGCATTTGTGTCATTTTAGACCAGGCTTTAAGCATTATAGCTGAAATTAACCACAGTTTAATATAGATTTTTACACGTCTATCATATTCAATGGCACAGTGTGAATATGCATTGTTGTTTGGGTGTACCGGCTGCCATGCAAAATTAGTCGCGTTGCTTTGTTGAAATTACAGGGCGGGGTGTTGAGTGAGGGGGTTTGTTGAAGTTATACTGCTGACATTTTGATCCTGCGGTGCATTAGAAGAATTCAGTTAAACATATTTGTGTAGGTTTCACAGGAGGAAGGTATAGTGCTCAAAACAACAGGGTGTTGTGACCCTTCACTTTGCTTACATAATTTGCAGCAGAATGCAAAAAGCTTTTAGACACAGATGTGACCCATTGTAATACCCTTCTAAATGCAATCAAACACTTTCTACAAATATGAGCAGGACTTTTTAAATGTGAACCCTTGTTTGACATGTAATTTTGTCCAACCCACTCCTCTTTCATTTCTCCATCAGCTCTCTCCAGTTATGCCCACATTTCAGTTGATGAAATAGCTTGACAAAACACTAGTTTATGTTCTATGCCTGCTCTGAATGAGGTCTCTTTTTTCAACAGATTTGAACAGATGTTGGGGCCAAAAGAAAATGTTACATTTTGTAATGGCGGTGCAGTGTAGTCTTCAATATGTTGCTCTTTCACAATTTGTCAAGATTGCTTTACATGAGTTGATTCTTTTTGTGTTTTCCTCCAGAAATACTGATGTCTAGCACAGGACATGAAATAATCATCCCTAGAACAAGCTTGTTGTGTCCTTGCAGCGAGATTGTCTGCATCAGCAAACAAAGAACATGTTATTTGATAAGATGCTTAGATAGACGATTCTTTACTTTCATATGTTTGTATGATTATCAGGAACAAATGGTGAAAAGAGGGGGGAAAACAGAGCAGGTCTACTCTCTTTGTATGTCTCTTTCACAGTGTACCATGAATTGGCTCTTGAAGACAGTTAGAAATTAGACTTTCAAATGAGGCATTAAACAAGGTGATGATCAACTGCCAAACCTTAAGTAATGATATTCTCCATCCTCAAGTCCCCAGCCTTGCATAACCAAATGCACAAATCACAGAAAAAAAGAACTGAAAATACATTATTATTACATATTGTGTTCACACGTCAGTCCCCAGGGACCGGGGGGGACATCACCGACAGATAAGCATGTTTGGGTGGCCCCTACCATCAGCTGGGGAAGGGCTACGCTTGGATCTTAAGGGGGGCCCCCTCATGGGTATCACTTATTTTAAATCCTGAGCCACACCATCCAACCCCCCTCTTTTGCCCCCCTCGCCCCAGGCTCCACCCAGAAGTGTGGTTGCCTTTGTCATTGTAATCTGGCCCTGTTTGCTAAACGCTTCCACTGTTTACTCTCTGCTATAGGGGCTTGTATGAACAGGAGTCAGCAGGACGCAGGGTGACATCACTTTGGCTGGGGGGGTGTTTGAAAAGCTGCATTTGTGATTTCTCGGGGCCCCTTTCTTCTTTTATTCTTCCCTGTCTCTATCCAGGCCTGTCGAACGCATGAGCTAACTCAGGAGGCTAACATGGCCTACAGGGAGGAATTACACCTAATTACTTGAATAACTGCTAGGCAGCAGCCTTCCGTAGTCACCAAAAATCATTTCCAGGTCTCTGCCTTTTACTGATAGCCAGACTTCTTGTGACAGAAAACCCTCGGACAAAGCTTTTACATTCAAATGGACCAGGAGAAATGAAACAGACTGACAGGTACAAACATTAAAAAGGGGAGAAATCAAATTAACAGACAAGGATTTCATATCATCTATTTTTGTTGTTGCCGTAGCGATAAAGTCGCAGACATTGAAACTGGTCTGTTGAGCCATTGTTATCATCCCTGGCCATCTGCTGCTGAGGAGTGACATTCCCTCTCATTTGCATGATGAGTGATGTATGAGGAGCTTGGGAGGGCATATGCCCCAGTCTTATGACAAAGCAAGTGAAAGTTTTTTTTTTAAACACATAGAAAGAGGATCGATATATGAATAAGGCTGGATGAAGGAGGAAAAAAAAAAAGGATAAATCACCTGTGAGTGTATTTGTGTGTACGCGCGTGTGTTTGCTTGCATGTATGTTGCATTTTCACTAAGCGCACACAAATCTGTGGTGTCTGTGCATGTGTCTGTGCGAGTGTACGCGCGCATGAGTAGAGGCTAGTGCGCGCATCTGCCTTCTTGTGTGCCTGTTTGTGTGTTTTGCGGATGTGGGAGTAGAGCGAGGAGGGGGGTTGGTGGCTGTTGATGTGCAAATGTGCATCATGTTGAAGGGCTGTGAATGGGGAGGTGTGACGTAAAAAGGGACCCGAACGCAGGTGCTTATCTCGAGGCTGTCAAAGGCACAGTATGTCATATTCCTGGGGACTACCTTTCAAAGCCACAGCACCAGCACAGCTATCAAGAGACTGGGAGAAAATCAAACTTTTTGGATCACAGCACTAGGTTGGTGTCAAAGTTCTTTTTATTTAATATACTGTCAGTTTGGTCAGCATTTATCATCACTGATACTCTGTATCGCATATGTGAACGACAAGCCTTTTAGCTCATGCTGTTAGATGCTGTCATGTGAAATCCAAAACAGGAGCTGAAATGTACAAGTGTTGGAAACTTACTTAGATTTACAGAGATTTACTCAGCAGCTAAACTTGTGTTCTGTGTATTTACAAGATTATGAGAAATAGCAATATACTGGCAATTGTTTTGAACTGTGTCTGTGGAGTATTTAGAAATTATTGCACTGATGGTGAACATTGTTTGCTTGATACAAATCAATGTTGTTAAAATCTTTGCTGGAAAGCGAGCGCAGCTTCTGTCCAGGTTTCAGACAGTTTGAGGGGAGATTAAATGGCTCAAACTGTTTTTTGAGAGGCATGACCTATTTTTGATCATCCAGATAGCATGAGATACTGTCTATCTAGATTAAATTCACAGCGTTTGTGTGGAGTTTAAGCTTGTCTTAGAAGAGCACATGTTCGTATTGTGTGCAGAGACAAAGCATTGTCAGGTTGCCTGTGGCTTTGACAGTGACAGCTGTACATACAAGACCACTGAGCCTAATGCACTTAAACATTGACTCTGTGTTCCAATAACATATTTGAACAGTCAGTGAAGTATTTTATTGCATCCTGTTCTGGCTTTCTGTAATTCGCGTTGTAAGTATGGTAAAGTTTGAAAACTATATGCTAATGTTGAATGTAGCCTGGCAGTAAAAGTCTTTACAAACCATCTTTTGTGTTATTCTTTGTGGGCAAGTTTTAGATTTATACAAATTCAGCAGAGCTGAAGAATTACATTCTGTTCTGAATTTTTGTAATTATTTGCATTGTAACTGTGGCAAAGTTTAAAAACGATATGCTAATGCTGAATGTAGAGTGATAGTAACACAGTCTACAAGTGAACTTTTGTGTTATACGTGGGCAAGTCTTAGCTTTGAACAAATTCAGAGGGGCCAAAGCACTCGACAGTCTCCAGAGCAACTATTGATTTAGGAGGACGGATGCTGGTTAGAAAAGTTCATCATTTACTAGTAACTTGCGGCACACTAATGGCTCAAAATCTGCTTGATGACCTAACTTTAAGTTGATCGCTGTAAAAACAAAAGTAGAATATTTTTTTAAGCAAGAGCAGAATTTAGGGCCTGCGTTACTGGATGAACTCATACTCTACCTGATATTATCACAACTTCAGTGTCTTTTTAGATTTTATTCTTTTGAAGAACACAAATTAAACAAAAGCAAAGATTCAAAAGTCAAAAATATTCATGTAAACTAACAACATCTGCTTTATCTGCCTGTCATATCTATTGCCATGTCTTTCAGAGACATTATACTCTGTGATTTAGCCGTTAAATCATTTTTAGGTTTGAAGAATTTCAGTAGAAAATTTTTAAACATTTTCAGTGGTGAATTAAATTGAAAGGCCGGTAGTCATTCTGCCTGTTAGCCTCCATTTAATCACAACTCCATCAGCTTATTTCAGTCAGCTCGCATCTCTCAACAAACAAGAAAAGAGCAACAAAAGACATTAGATAACACAGCATTGTGTAACTGTGTCACATCTCAGTAATCCTTTGAAAAGTTTGGCAAGTTATTTTAAAGACGATAATATATGAAGACAGGACCTGGAAGTGAGGTTATAAAGTTACACCTCTACTCTTTGTTTTAATTACAAAAGCAGCTCAGGCTACTGCAGGGATGTGTGGTAAAGCAGTGATAAGTAAGAGCCATTATTCCTCTCTGCTCCCCACCCTCCGCTTCAAAGCAGGATGTTAGTTGCTACACAACACATAAATGTAACCTCTGTTCGCCTCCAGGAACTGTCCATGGTACCTGCTGCCCAACAAAACTGCATCCACAAACTTATTCTCGCAGTTGCGATACACACTAAACTTCTGCGATGGAAATTTTTTTCTTTCGTCTATTTCCATCAATATTGCAAATAAATAAAAAATATGAAGTTATTCAGGCTTTGGGATCTTTTGAGTTATAACTGCTCATTTTAATTATAAGTGAATTGCCGCTGCGTGCTCACAATCTGAACGACAAAATCGCAGGAAAAAAAGCTTAGCACGTTGACATGTATCAGTGTGATACATATAGTGTTACCTGTTTTTTACCCTACTCAAACTTCAGTTAGTTAATCCAGGAAAATGAATTATGTGGATTTAATTCAACAAGGTCTCAGAAATGATCCATCTGCTGTTGAGCAGCTGGTGAAAGGATAAATGTAATTAATTACTTAACTTTTGAACAGTATTACAGAAAAAAACAGTGCTGTTTGTGTATTCTACTGGAAAAAATGTAAAGCAACAGTGTGATATATACCTTTCAAATTATATTTTTTTTCTCTTTAGTTCTTAGTAACGTGTTATATTTTAAATAGTCTTACCATGTATCCTCTAATATTGTTTAAAATTGGTCTTGTGTAAATGTATAATGCATATATTTTCACGAATTTGTCCCAATGGCAATATATCACTTTGAAATATTATTAGTAATATTGCATAAATTAGAGGTCATCCTGTAGTAAATTAAATATTATAATATATAATTAAGTGTGTAGAATTCTAGATAACAATAATCCTCATTATATAAATTATATAGGCTTACACTGTAATTCTTTTTATTTTTTCTGGTTGGTACTTTAGAAGTGGACTGATCCTAACCAGACACTCTAAAACTAACTAAGCATTTAATGATTATTATAACATTTTCAAAATCTTGATAAAATGTTAGTTAGTGTGTAATGGCAGTCATATTTTATTTCCTGGTTCTACTTTACAGCAAAATCATCAAAATCTGAACAAGGTTGAATCAGGTGGGATTTTTCTAAAAAAGATAATAAAACACAACATAAAAACCCTTTTAGTGAATAGTTATATTTGCTTGACAGGGCAAGACTATGAAATGTTCCCAATTAATATTACATGGGATTTATTCTGCCTCTCTCTTTTTAAAAATATATTTCAGAATTTACCTTGATTGTAATGTACCTCATTGGCTGTGGTTTTGTTTGTTGGCCTAACTATAAAGGATCTGCTTATACCCTTGTGGGTTGGGAAGAATTAGGATTTATGAATTTATTTCCTCTGTTGTATTGTTTAAACAGCTTTGGTTTAGTTTTGATCCCTTCCTCTTGCCTTTGAGGCTGTTCCACGGTGTCAGCTGTTGACTGATAGTAAGAGAACTGCCTCACAGTGTGAATGAAAGAAAACTAGCGGTTGGTAAACACTGATAAGGGATAAATAGAAAGCGGTCAGGCAGAGATAGTTCTGTGGGAGCCCAGATTGTGTGCGGTCTGTTAAAATGAGATTCTGAGCCTGTCCTTTTTATTCTTCCTCCCCTCCCCTCCCCTGTGCGGCGTTTGTCTGGAAAATCTCCAGTGACCCGGCTCGGCAGTCCCAGGCTGCAGTATTCTCTTTTTGTATTTGTTTTGTTTTCTAACAAGGGTCAAGTTGGCCAATAGACATGTCCCTGATGCTTATAGACAGCTGTCATGACTTCAAGTACTTACAATAGTTACATTTTACATGGATTCATGGTTCTGCACCAACAAGCACTGCAGCAAGAGATTTGCTAAAAAAACATGTATATGATTTTGAAACAGACAGTTTTTAATGTGCGTCTATTACCTATTGTCATATAATGTAAATCCAAAAACCATGTTATATAATAATTACAGTCACATAATTATACATTTACACTACCTTCACTGTTGACCCTGAGGAATATAAATCTTATGTCTCAATTGAAATTACTCTAAATGACTGTCTTACTCAATTCTTTTAGTAGCAGCCTGTTCTTTCCAGTAATCATTGATTTTTTTTTTTCTGGGGTGAATCTATCTTTTATGTGATTAAAAAGACCTTCAGAGGTCTTACCTTGAGGATCACCATGTGGTGTATTTACACAGAAAATAATTCAGCCCATTGTAGCCCAGCAGCTAATGAGATTGGTTGTTAAGTGAATGACACAAAGGCTACAAAAAAAAAAAAAAAAAAAAAAAGCTTAGCGTTTCGGGTGAATATCACAGTGTCCCTGCACACACACACACACACACACACACACACACCAACCAAACACACTCTCTCAGCAGCGAGACTCTGGACTACCCTGTACCCCACCTCGATATCCTTCTGCTCCGTCTCCTCCCCGACGTCACTATGAGATGCAAAACAAAGGCTAAAAGGGGCATGGTAAGTCGAGCTCGCGATTCTGCCCTGTCGGACATGTTAACACGAGTGCATTTAGATGTAGGAGACAAGTGATTCTGTTTGTCTCTGTGAGGATGTGCTGTGTTGTGTAAGCCTCAGGCTCAGATAAGTAGCTTCATGGAAGGGTCAATAACAGTGATGCTGTTTTATGTGACTCAGAATAAGATCACCACGTTTTACTGGACCATCTTTACTATCTTCTTAACTTCTGAATTGCTGCTTAAACTTTTCTCTCCATTTCTTTCTGTGAGACACTTTCTTGCCTTGCACTTAATGTTTTGTGTACTTTATGCTAGTTTGTATTGGAGCTATGACTTGGGTTTTATTCACAAAAGTACAAAGCCTGTATTTTTGTGTCTGTATTTGTTAATGGTGCAGGGTTACTTAGAGGTAGTTTATTGTTGTTGATCCTTGAGTAAAGCTTCACTCAATGTTGTCCAAGGATTTATCTAAAAATCATTGAAATGTATAATAGAGCATGACAGCACAGGAGAGGGTCGTGTTAAGCACCCAGACTCAGTTTGTATCGATTGCTGAACTGTTAAGATACTCACTCAAAAGTGAATGGATGTTGTCTCGACACAGTTTGAACACTGTGCAGATATATTGTACCTCCCTCGGACTCCTCTTTTTGAATAGTAGCACTGGAGCATCATTAGTGATTGCTGTAATACAAAAAAATTAAGTGCATTAGCTTATCATGCTCCACTGTTAGGCTGGAAAGTGGGTT